TTAATTAAATGGTGTGCTTTGTGAGACTGCACACGTCCCTTCTCACCAACACATTAAAACCCTCATTCTGCCTCACTGTATATTGTTTTTTACAGTTCACTCAGGTTTGGGTTGACGGATGATTTCTCTTCCATGATTCTAGTTAATGCATACTTAGCAGTCAATTCGGTGTCCATTCAAAGGAGTCTAAAGCCTAAAGTATACTTTGTTTTTTGTATGCGTACATTATTGTATGTACAAAATTAAACGCACAGCCTATAAAGGGCCCATGCATTATTTTAGCTTTTAGAGGAATTCTCATGTGGCCTCCCGGTCGGGTCAAAGTATACTCCATAGTGTTTGCAATCACAGGCACTTAACATATGCATATTAGAAAGGCCCAATCCTAAATGGCACACTTTTATGTGCACTTGTGGTTTGGCAGACTTACTGTACAACAGCCATTATGTGTGTATGCATGAAGTTCTCAAGACTATAGATTCTCATTCATTATCTTAGCTTTTAGAAGGATGCATGTATACCGGTACATCCCCTTTGTGAACACTATGCATCCTCAATGTACACTCTTACTTAGACCAGGGTTGCCCAAACTCAGTCCTGGAGGGCCGGTGTCCTGTAAATTTTAGCTCCAACTTGCCTCAAAATACCTGCACGGGTGTTTCCAGAAAGCCCAGTAAGAGCTTGATTAGCTTGCCCAGGTGTGTCTGGTAGGGGTTGGAACTGAACATTGCATACTACAGTGACCTAGACCATACTAAGACCCAATCTTTAATGTGCATTTGTGCAAACACTGGAATATTGGGTTCATAGGTCTGCCAATGTTCATCATTTTACTCTTCAGAAGTGTGCTCCTTTAAAGCCACCCTTGATGCACATTATCGCCAAGACTATATTTCAACCAACATTCTCAACTTTCAGAAGTATGCTTGCATATGTCCCCTTTGTGGACACTATGCACCCTCAATGTACACTTTTACCTAGACCATACTAAGACTCAATCCCTAATGTGCACTTGTGCAGATTCTTGTCTGTTGGGTCCATAATTCTGTCCTGTTCATCATTTTACCCTTCAGAAGTGTGCTTATTAGTCCTTTGTGGTCACCCTTGATGCGCAATTCCACCAAGGCCAAATTTCTACCCAACATTCAAAACTGCATTATGTCCAAGGTATTGTGTACTGAGAGGAAACCCACAAGGGTTTAATGTGCCCTTTGGGACATTGGACTTGACTAGCAAACTTACAGTGGCTTCCATGAGCATGTGTGTATAGTTTTAACTTTCAGAAGAATGCTTTGTGGCCACCATCAATGTACACTTTTACCAAAACCACACTGAGACACGTTCCTAAATGGCACACCTGATGTGCAATTGCCGGCTAGCAAACTTAAAATGGCTGCCACATTGACGCATTAGTTAAGTCATGGTCCTAAAGGGTCAGTGTCCTGCACAGTTTTGCTCCAACTTCCTTTAACACATGTGCCTGGAAGGTTCTTGTACAGTGTTTCTCAACCATGTTCCTAGAAGACCACCAGCTCTGCATATTTTCCATTTTTCAGATCGTCAGCTCATCAGCAGAGACTGAAAGACCTGTATTGGGTGTGACAGGCAAAGAAGACATTCAAAACATGTAGTGTTGGTGGTCCTCCAGGAACTTGGTTGAGAAACGTACACCTTGAAAGAGCTTAATTTGCTGGTTCAGGTGTGTTTAATTGGGGTGGAACTAAAATAAGCTGGACATCGGCCCTCTATGACAGAGTATGGACACCTTTGGGTTAAGTCCACAACATTAGCCCTTGAAGCACACTTCTCCAAGTTTCTACTGCAATAATCTCAAACTCAATTGCTAGAGGGCCGCAGCTCTGCATAGTTTACCTCCAACGACCTCCAACTCACACCTGCTTTATAGTCTCTAGTAGTCTTGATCACTTTGATTAGTTGGATCAGCTGTGTTTGATTAGAGTTGGAGCAAAACTGTGCAGAGCTGCGGCCCTCTAGGAATCGAGTTTGAGATCTATGCTCTGCAGAGAAATCTTCACAATCAAAGCGATTTATATCATGAAAGTTTGGACCTTGAGGATTTAGAATGCAATTTGAGTTTGGGCCAAAGTATGCATCAATTGATTATGTGTGTTCACAGAGACTCGATAAATGCGCTCTAGAAAGACCTAAATAGTTGACTTTTTAGTGCCATTTGGGATCGGACCAAATTACTCATCTTTATCCAGTATCTGTTTTTGTTCTTTCAAAATGTTGCCCGATGAGATTTCCTTTGTACATCTTTAGAGTTGCGGATATATTTTGTTTACCTCACGAATGCATTAATATACCTGGGCATCTGTTGTTTTTGCCATTTACAGTATTTTGTTCCCTCACCAGTTTTGACACCTAGTGGACAATCTAAGTAGTACAACAACTATTCAAAGTGCATAAGTGAGCTGGGAGTATGTTGTTGCAAAAATACCATACATGCATTCTTTGCCCATGATGAAACATGCTTCACAACACACTATGCATACTGTAGTGTACCTGTAAAAAGTGAAGTATACTTTGGGCTTAAGGAACGTCGGGGTGTTGGGAAGTGGGGAAGGGAAGTGACCTCAGCATGAAGAACATGCCATGGATACATGTTCGATATATTATCGCTGCTGTAATTGTTGACACACATTTCCTGAAAACAAAGGGGGAAAGGAAGAGATTTATTTATTTGTATTATTATTGTTTGGTTAAAGGATCGAAACGGTTTAACATTGCAATCATTATGTATTAAAAGAAGAGTTTATGTACAATGTTTAACTGTTGCAAAAATCTAGACTTCACCTATACTCCTTTAGAATGGATTAATGACAATATAAACGCAATATCATATTACTCTGTACTAAGGAATGCAACTGCGCACATGCACAGAAAAAAAAAGATGTTTTTAATAAAGAATATATGTATAAATATATGACAAACTATATTTAATTAGAATGCTATGCACCCTTATTAGAGTTGTTATTGATGTACTTTAAGTATATTAGTTAGATTCCAGTAATACGAACATACCCATGTCATGGGGAATGTAAAGGCTTTGTAGCTATTTCAACATGTTTTCGTTTCTTTTGTTTTTTATTGTAACGGAAAAAGGAAACACGGACATTGAATATGTATACAAGCCTTTTATTCAGATTCATTCTGATATGAAGATATGTATAGACCATTTACCCTGCACACCAGCTCAGACCATTTACAAAAGTTAATAAAGAAAGATGTGACATATTGTGACACTGTGTGCGTGTGTAAGAAAATGTGCGATTTATGCATTTATAAATCTAGCATTGACTTCAGAGGGAATGAATGGGCATTACAGAATTGCTTTAAGATCATTTCGCGCTCCTACTGCTGAATATTCACCGCAGCTGAAATATATATGCGTTTATGTAAATATTGAGACACCACATGATGATTCTCCATTTTTCGTATTTATGATTTACACTCACTGGCCACTTTAATACGCACACCTTATTAGTACCGGGTTAGACCCACTTTTGCCTTCAGAACTCCCTTAATGCTTCGTGGCACTGCTACAAGGCAGGATGGATCCATGCTTTCATGTTGACGCCAAATTCTGACCCTACCATCTGAATGTTGCAGCAGAAACAAAAACTCATCAGGCCAGGCAACGTTTTTCCAATCTTCTATCGTCCAATTTTGGTGAGCCTGTGGGAATTGTAGCCTCAGTTTCCTGTTCTTAGCTGACAGGAGTGGCACTTGGTGTTGTCTTCTGCTGCTGTAGCCCATCCGCTTCAAGGTTGGAGGTGTTGTTCGTTCAGAGATGGTCTTCTGCACACTTCATTTGTAATGAGCGCTTATTTCAGTTACTGTTGCATTTCTATCAGCTCAAGAGTCTGGCCATTCTCCTCTGACCTCTAGCATCAACAAGGCATTTGCACTTCTGCCGCTCACTGGATATTTTCTAATTTTCAGACCATCCTCTGTAAACCCTAGAGATGGCTGTGCATGAAAATCCCAGTAGATCAGCAGTTTCTGAAATACTCAGACCAGCCTGGCAACAACAACTATTTCATGTTCAGAGTCACTTAAATCACCTTTCTTCTTCATTCTGATGCTCGGTTTGAACAGCAGATCACCTTGACCATCTCTACATGCCCAATTGCATTAAGTTGCTGCCTTGTGATTGGCTGATTATAGTTTTGCGTTAACAATCAGTTGGACAGGTGTACCTAATAAAGTGGCCGGTGAGTGTATAGTGCACTGAAGTCAAATGTAATTTTTGCATTATTCTGTAAACTACTGATGACATTTCTTCCAAATTCAAAATAAACATCTTGGCATTTAGAGCATTGTTTTATGGCAAAAAATAACAAAAAGGTGCCATAATTTTAAACACCACAACACAAATTTGTATCTTCAGAAGAGTTAAGAAATCCGCATTTGTTTGTATAATCCTAATTACAAGTCATGACAAATTAAAGCATTTGTAATTTTAACCAACTTAGAAAAAAACTATAAATAATTTTTTTTTTAATTATCGGATCTTTACAGAATAAAACAAATAATAACATACATTTTATTCAAAGCTTTACCTAATGAGTCCAGTACACTGAGAGAAACTGAGAATTGTGGTATCTAAAATATGTTTACGTTTTTATCATTATAATTACATTTCTATACATTTTTATATGTTTTAGTAGATGTAATTTGCCATTTTTTCATTAAATATCTATTATGCTTTAGGATGAAACATTAAACAATTTGGGAGATAAATAAAGGCAGACCAGTTTAAAAGAGAAAAAGAAAAAATACTGTAGATATTAATATGTGATTCATTATTAAATGATGAATCAGTGCAGCGGTAACAACTCGTGTAAACATCGGGAAAAAACTACATTTCCCATCTGTGTCTTGCAGTTCCGTTGCTCGCCGGAGGGGGCACCGGTGGCCGAGGTCTCCTTTTTAAATAGCTCTTTCCTGCTCGTGTTTTGTTGAGTGCGTGGTGTGTGTGCATGAGGATTGAGAGAGAAAACGTGGTCGCGGAGAAGCCTAGCATTTTTAGCTAGTTTGCGAGTGTGAATGAGTGAATGAAGTGCCATACAGGCTCAAATATTTAGTATTATTTATTTTTGTATGTAGTCACGTTTGTCACAAACGGACAAGGTAAACAATTCTACAAAAGTAACTTGATACTGAACCGCTGACAACAGAATACATTTACCTGCTGAAAATTAGAGCTGAATTGTTTTGTTCTTCTGCTTCAATAAGGTGCAAAGACACTATTTGATCAAGGCAGCTGGCTGAGTTTGTGCTTGCAATAGTGTTGAAAATGTCCATGGGCAGTCAGAAGACCACCAGTCAGGCAATTCCAACCACCAGACGAGTCATACTCAACGATGCGGCCCATCTGCCTCATGATTACTCGACAACACCCGGGGGGACCCTTTTTAGCACGACTCCTGGAGGTAAATGTCACGGGCTTGCTGATGAATCGTTCGGGCGCATTCGCAGCTGTCGCAAGAGCGAGCATTGTTTTTGTTTTGACCGCGACATAGCGATGCATCCCAGAGCTCGTGCACCGCGAGCATTGTCTTTGTGCTTGACAGACTGCGGTGCGCGTGCTCATGACGCTTCAGCCTGCTCGTCTCGTATTGTTTGTGTTTTAACTGCTCGTCAACCGATAGTAAACGCTTGAACGTTATCAATAGGACCAGAACAGCATTGATTTATTGACATGACGGCAGACTATGACATTCTCGCAAAACTGGGCTTCTTACAATTGCAGAAATTACAATGCAAAATTATGAACGTAAACATGTATTGGTTAACATGGTATATTTAAAATGTGTATGTTTCCATTGGAGAGGTTAGGCTCTAAAATAATATATATGTTTTTGGCACTTACTGTTCCACGGGGGACCTTTACGTTCCACAAAAATACTCTAAATCATTTATTTGCATTAGGTTTAAAGACTGCTGACTGAAAGCTTCTCTTAAGAACTTAAAATGTTTATTTTGCGTCGCCACTGTTTTGAAATGTTTAAGGGTGTGAAAGGGGCAGTTTAGCATTTTAAAAATGTAAACTATTGAATTATGACATTGAAATTTAGATTAAACCATCCATAATGGCCTTGATCGACCTTCAAGTAAATTTTTGGAAATTCTGGCATAGTGATTCAGTATTATTTATGCCAATTTGTACTGTATATTCTCCACTATTTAGATGAAATGTTATGTATGCAGACGTCAACGTGCATATGTATTGTGTACACATACATGTATGTGTGTTTATACACATGTATATGCATAAATGAACACAGGGTATCCGCGGAGTCTTAAAAAGTTTTTAAAAGTCTTAAAGGTCAAAAATAAAGCTTAAAAACTCCTTAATTCACTGAAATATTGAGTTTTATGTCTTAAATCATTTTAAACAAGTCTTCATTTTTCTCTGTTCAGGTAAAGCTACCCAGTCAGGCTGACAACCATCCAATTGCCAACAATCAAATCAGGGAAAGACAGCTAAAACAATTACAGTTCCTCATAATAATAACAGAGCAATTTATCCCTTTATGTTATCTTCCATTCATACACAAACTATTAACAGAAGCAAGGGCAAGTAGACATAATATTTATCAATAGGCATGAAACTTAAGGTTTTATAACTGAAATGCATTAGGTTAAATAGAAGTTATACTCAATCAATTTGGACCAAAAGCCAACAAATAAATATTTTTGATTATGTAATTCCCTTCACAATAAATATACTTTTAACAATGTTGAACTTGTCATTAAAAAGAAAAAAAAGAAATGTTGTGTTGAAAATAGTCTATACAACTAAAGTTTTCTTGTTTAGACGCATTAAAGTATGTCGCTAAGAAATAATTACATTTATTTTTTTGTGGCAAGCAAAAATAAAATCCATTGGGCCAATGGGGCCAATAGAATTAATCATTAGTGTTTAGCCCTGTATAAATCTAAAATTTCATTCATAATTGTCTTAAAAGGCTCTTAAAAGACTTGTTGAAACCCTGTAACAACATGTATGATTCCTAGGCATAAACTTGAGTGAAACATAATTTATATTTATTTTGTGTAAGCTTCCGATCATGTTTTATTTTAAAATTTAGCAAAAGTATTAATGTAGAGCATTATTTGCATAAAATTCTAAAAAGTGGCATGTTTTATTTACCAGAGTAGCTTGTGGATTTTCTTAGATGCAAGAGATAACTAATAGTCAACAAGAGGACGTGACGCTTCTCGAGGCATGTGACTGTTGGTTTCTCAATAGTCACTGCCACTTCTGCTTTTCTAGCACACGAGGACGGCCGTTCTTATTATTGTCAACAGTGTTTCAGTTACTATTTGTCCCGATGGTCATTTAAACCATGATGATGTAACACTGCGTAGATCACAGGAAACATTAGATGCACAATATAGGCATTAGGGAATGTTTGACTTTTTATTGGTTCTCATGTTTAGTGCTTGTTTTTATTAGTGTGCATGCTTCTCTGCATACACTTATGAGTTCTATCTGCAGGCTGCTTTTGGCATTGAAATGCACTCGATAGCTTTACCTCATAGAGTGAAATTAGTTCAAGGATGTTTGTGTGTGTGAAGGTTCACTGGAGGTTCAACGGGGCTGATAGGAGCCGAGCTGATAATGTGTTCTTGTTCTCACTATTTCAGTCTGTTGCGTTGGTTTTTTTTCTTTCTTAACACTGTTCTGATAAGGAAATGAAAAATGTATAAGAAAGAATAGTTTGTCAAACATTGACACTTTAAAAGTCTCCACGCTTAATGATGCAATGCAGCCCTGTAATGGTGAAAAGCACACCGTCATTTGGACATGTTTAGACATGTTGGGATCAAACTCGTAACACTTAACATGGCACAGCCCGAACACACCTGGCTGTTTTCACAGGCTTGTCGGTCAGCTTAGCATTTGTACCCTGATATAGGACCATTGTTTCCTCTTTATAGGCACCCGGATCATCTATGACCGAAAGTTCCTGCTGGACTGTCGCAGCTCTCCATTGGCCCGCACACCGCCCTGCTGCCTGCCTGACATTCCTGGGGTGACCAGTCCTCCTTCAGTCACCGTGAATAATGAAAAGGCCTACCCTAAACCCACTGTCAATAATAACAGCATCAGCCCCCCGGTGGACAAGAGCACAGGTAAATGTCCATTATCACATGTGCTAAAACTAAATCTGTATTTTCATCTTGTATTAAATGTGCACCAAGCAATATCTGAAAAACAATTTGACCACACTGAGTCATAAAACAGACTTGCAACCAGTCAGCATTAATGGGTATGTCTAGAAACTAATGGAGATGGTTATGGGTGTGTGTTTTTATTTATTTATTTTTGGTCTGTTATTTTTGCAAAATTCATTGCTTTTTTGCAAAATTCATTGCTTGCCAAAGTTTGCTTGTTGCACCTTAAATTAACGTTTAGTGATCTCATCACAAGTTGTCAGCCCAGATGCATAACCATTTCCAACTAGTATTAACATGTACAAATGTTGAATGTCTTGTGACCATCTGTGTTCAGATTTCATTGAGATCATTTAATTTTTTTAGCATGTTCTACATCACAAGATTGCTCCGTTTAGTATATAAATGTTACTGAATGAAGGATCCCACGTTAGGCAGCTTATTACTATTATTAGGCCTGGGAAAATAAATTGATGCATTGGGAAAGAAGACTTTTTTTATCAGTTGGAATCTGAGCTTATTTTTTTACCACCCAGATGTTCATATATGCCGTCTGCCAGTCTTCACACAAACCACTTGAACGTTAATTGAACATTAAAAAAGTTAATCATTAAAATGAAAATGTATAAGCACATTTGAGCACTTGCAGTACATGACACATGCTCTTCACACTCACAAAGGGTGTACTCACACTAGGCTATCTGAACTGTGCCCAGGTACCTTTGACCCCCATTTGACCCCAGTTTCATTTAACAAGTGTGAGTACACTTAATCGAGACCAGGCACAGTTCAGTTGGCTGGACTGGTAGGAAGAAGGGGTTTGCCAGAGTGCGGTTCGGTTGGGCTTTGGCTTGGTACGCTTGTTGTGTGAGTGCAAAATGCACCCTCAGCACGAAACTGAAGATGCAACATCACTTTTAAGGAACTGTTTAATATACTTTTTAATAATCATTCATTTTTAATGGTTCAAGACAACTGTGCCTAGTGTGAGTACACCCTAATGCTGCTTTCACACCAGACGCAGATGGAGCATCAAGTGTGAGAGATTTACATGTTAAGTCAATACATATACTTGAATAGAAATTGCTCTAGTAAGGCAGCAGAAATGACACGGCCCGAGTTGAGCGTTTAACGTATGTATTTCATGAATCGCTTGAGTTGTAAAATCTGAACTTTAGCAAACATTTGCGCTGCTTTAAATAATCATAAGCTTGCTCTTGTAGGTGCATGAATATGACGTAGTGCCAGTTGTTTGTGTCCCGAGGGGAAATCCTCTTGCCAACACCGGACAGCAGTTCATCAAACTGGGCTCAGCTCAGTCTGAAGCGACGCTGAAAGCTTTCAAAATACAAATATAGTTTCTAGAGGAGTTGATGAACTCACAGAGCTGGGTGCAACTCTGAAAGGGTCTAGTGAACTCAGACGCTACACCAAAAGAATCTACCCTGTTTTTTAGCCTTTCTAAAACACATGAAGCACAGCTACTATCTCGATAAAATCCATGTTAACCATTTAGCAATGAAACTAGTCACTGTGCGTGTGGACAGAAGCCCCTGCCCATGAAGCGAATCTGCATATATTGTGTAGCGAATTTGACGCGCAAATAATGCTAGTAATCTCAAAATATTCACGCATGTGAATACTCAATGTTTGTGTATGCTGCTTCTGGTGTGAGCACAGCATAAGGGTGGATGATTAAAAAAAAATAGCCTGGTGTGCCATCTGCTGTTAAAAAGCTAAGCTCAGAATCGATCTCAGAGAGAATCTCAATGCATTTAAAAAATTAATCGTTTCAGCCCTATGGATCGTTGTGATCAGCTTTTTGAATGCATACAGTCTACATGTTCTAGTTCAGTGGTAACAATAGCATTAAATCTCACTTATGAAACAAAAAGTTTTTTTTTTTTTTTAATGGGGATGGAACGTTTTATATACTTCACATTAAAACGAGTAGTCTAGTCTCTAGACTCTTGTGAGGAACAACATAAATATTAGAGGGATTAGTTTTGTGGATGCTAACTACGAATTCAGTCTAAATTATTTGTTTTGGTTTATCATGGTTGCACATGTAAGAATCAATGTAAAATTATATTTGAATACCTTGCTTTGCACTTTCTTAATAGTTCAGTAAAGATTCTAACTTGGGTCAGTAGGCAGAGAGTAAGTGGTTTTTTGTGTAGTTGTTTGAACTCATTTCTCCACATCAGTCTTTATACAATAAATGCATCTGCTTGAATGCAGTTTCTGCCAACTTCAGAAGTGCTCAAAGGTGGTCAAACCCCATTTACACCTGCGTGTATCATGATCCACTTATGATTGGATTGAAGAAAATGCATCTTAATACCCAGGTGTAAATTGAGCCTAAATGTTGTGGTTTTTGAACCATTAGACTAAAGTTTGGAAAAGATGTTTCTATTGGTGTTTTAGTCGAGTATCATACAGTACATCAGGCTTTTATGACTTGATTACTATGGGGTATGAAGCTTAACTCAGAAGCCCAAACAGAACCCAAACAGCAAAAATACTGAATTTTATGTAGTTGTGAATGTTTATGGCTAAAATGTAACATGAGATAAAATTCAGATATATTATGATTTATTGTGAGATGATATTCAAGTGATATTATTTGTTTGCCGTGCAGTTCAATACAGTTATGACTGAGGTGTGTGTGTGTGTGTGTGTGTGTGTATAAAGATAGATGTAAACTTTTCTCAAATGCCTCATGTATTATGCATGTTTGGTACAAATTTTTTAAATTATGTAATTTGCAGATAGTTACTAAAGTCCAGTAAATGTTCATCTTTAAATATTACTTACTCTTTAAGTTAATCTTGCTTATGACTTTAGACAAATTAGACAAGTAAATTATAATTACACAAATTACAGCAAAGAATGAGTCACTTGACAATTATTTAAAAAATCTTTTGTGTGGTTAATAAATCAGTTGACAAAAGACAGATTATATCATTTGTAAGTCATGAACAATGGGTTTGGCAGCTCAGTTTTGATCATGTTGATCATTTAAAGGCTTTAGGCATAGGCCGGTATAAGACTCTGACTTGTATGATAACCTTGGATACAAATATCACGATTTCACGGTTTTGTGATTACTGCTCTAAAATATATTCTTTTTAAATGTCTGGGTAAAAAACAAAAACTTTTTTTTCCTCTTTGAACACAAAATATTTTATTTAGAGAAGCATTTATAATATTTTGGAGCAGTAAATATGTCGGGCTAAATCATTCAAATTAATCATGACTTCTGCTGTCTATTTGTTTCAAAAATGGCCACTTTGGATATTTTTTCTGCTGGAGATATTGTTGTCATAAAAAATTAAATTAAAAAATCTTTGGAACAGTGTAAACAGAAAATTTTGCCGGTTTTGAAACCTTGACTTTTCCATACTGATGTATAACTTAAACTTTTATCGTCCCATACCTATTAGACATTTTCTGTTAATCATTAAAGGGTTAATATACTCAACAAATATATATTTTGTTCTGTGATTTTAAAGGGGAGGATGCCCAGTTTGAAATGGACATCTAACTACAGTAGAGGAACTGCTACACGAAGGAGACGACGACTGTAATGAATATTACTGTGATGATAAAGATGATTACTGTTCCCAGAGAGGATAAATGCACAGAAGACTTCTCCTTCCATGTCATCTGTCTTGTTTTTTTCTTGTTTTTTTTTTGTCATTGATTTACTGTTCAAATGATATTTTCCTTTCCTGTACTGATGCTGTCGCTCAAGACGCGCACAAAGCCATTTCTTTTGATTCTCGACATCAGCTAACACTGTTGTGCCTGAAAGAGCCACTATTTCAGATAGTGCATCCTGAGCACATCGATGCAGCTCTACTTCTGCCTAAGACATGGGGGACGTTTTCACAGGCCGCCATGCCACACTTTGTTTGATACAGATTTGTTTGTGTAGTTTTTCAGAATGGTCAGTAGAGGGAGCAACAGTTCTTTTCTTAGTGGTTTTCTCATGCAGAATCATGTGGGGGAAATCCAACTCCTGAAGATTTAACATGCCATGACACTGAATTTGACCACTTTCCATTAGGTGTTGATACTTTTTGTAATGGTAAAATCTAATCTTTTGTTTATCCTGAATACTCGATTCACCTAAAGTGTCATTCAACAGAATGTAAAATGCCTTTTTTTGGCTGTGAAGTTCTCTAAACTGCCCTGTTATTCCTGAAGAGACATTTAAGCATTAAAAAAACATCAGAGAATTGACAAGTGTCTTCCTTATTCATTCACTCCCTCGTGTTTTCAAAGCAAAAACAGACAACACCCAAGATTAAACATTATGAAAACATTTTATTACATTTGGTAATTTACATACTCTACTATTTACAGATAAGGCAAACACGCAAAGCTTTCAATAATAGCATCAAGTTATCCAGGTGCCTCAGTGCAGGAAACCATAATAATTTCAAGTGGGAATAATTGACAGCAGTTTTTCTTAAATACATATTTTTGGGGTCGAGGAGCATATCCAAAGTGCTAGAGTTGAGTTCCTTTGGGGTTTGGAGAATCAGTGGCAGCCGCATTCTGCAACAACCATGCCTTCATGGTGTCTCATGACCATCTTGCCACTCTCATAGTAGAGCATGGAGAGTGGAGCCAGACGGGTGGGTACGCAGGACAAGCATGGGACGCGATCTGGGTGGTGCAGCTTCAAAAGACTCTGCAAATGGGAAAATAACAAACATTAGAGTCAGTCTGGCAGGAGGAAAACGGAATCATCAAAGATCTGAGAGATTCTTACCTGCATGTATGCATGGTTTGTTGGAGTGAAGGTTTCATCTACTGGTGTGGGACAACTGCCTTCACACCGATAAGCGTTGTAACGCTTTGGATAAACAATCCAGTCGCTCCAACCAATCTGATCAAAGTCCACCCACATATCCACCTTCTTGCAGAGAGGTTTCTTCTCTCCACCTTCATGGGAAACACCAGGAATCATCCCTGCTGCTGCATCGCGGACCCTATCATCAGTTCTGTGGTTCCTTCTGTGGCGCCGAGGCACAGGTTCACTTCCACCACCAGCCCGATCCAGAGCTACATACTTGGAGTGCTCGGCAGTCCGGATGAGAGTGGACGTCTTTGCCCGGTTCTGCTTGGAGTAAACCACCATCATCACTCGGTTCACTGTAGGATGATGAACGCTCTTGTGTCCCTCAGCCATTGGCGGCATTTGTGTGGGTTCCTCAAACGGCACACGCTCACTCTGGTGCAACCAGTACTTGAGGAGCGCAGTGATGTTGAAGATCCTCCAAGAGGAGCGGAAGGTTGAGTTAATCGGGTTTGCGTTCAAGGTTCCGAGGTGGACCCGGACTTCTTCGCAGGGGCTTCTCTCACACTCAGGTGTAGATGCGTGATAAATATCCACCTCCAACTCAGACCTGAGATGCGGAAGCCGAATGCGAAGTTCAGCTCGCTGGACATCATCGCTTGCTGATATGGAGGACATGTCAAATGTCACTGCGAATTTGTCACCAACCTGATGACAACCTGGATAAAAAATATTTAAGAAAAGAGTGTTTAGGGCAGACAGGTAAACAGTCTAGAAAAGATAAGTGATGTGTGGTGCTTAATTATCTTTAAAGGATGTCTTCACACATGGCCACGTTCGGGACAAGCAATTAATAAAGTAGAACGTTCTTATTGTCTAAATGTGTATTGATGCCCAGGCCACTTTAAAACAGACGTCTTAAAGGTAATACACACACACTAATAAGCATAATACATGACTTGGCTAATAGACCAGAACCAGCTAAACTACAAATAATGCTCACTAAGGGTCTTGTATCAACCCGAAAGAGATTTGTTTTTTAGATAATGACTGGCGGCAAGGTTTGTTTATTGGCTTATAACACGGTTACCAGTAGGCTAATCTAGCTAAACAAATCAAGGCTACAACGTCTAGGCTTATTGGTTTGAACTTAAATTATTTGCTTAAATGTAGATACATTTACTTGTGAAGTACACGCGATCTAATTAAATCATAAAGCCTAACGTTACTTCACGATGAGGTAAACTGAAGTTGTTTACATTTACTATGAGGAGAAAAACAATATATTCAAGCTATTTAAATAAAAAAATATGAAAATTAATAGTAAAAAAATCAATTATACTTACTTTTAGCGACGAGGCTCAAGACGGAGTCAGACTCGTAAAGAGTTGGATTCTCATGGCTGAAATGTTTTTCGTCTCCAGTCAGAAGTGTCCGGTAGAGGTGCATCATATACAGCGGATATCTGGTCAGATGTCGGCCGTGACCTGCCCGACCTCCGCCGTTTCTGCCAGCTGCTCGCATTTTATTCCTGAGGGTCTCTTGAAATCCAGCAAGGTTTCCCGTGCAGCTCACCAGGCCGACCGCGAGGGCCAAAACTACGCTCAGGAGCCCGCAGGAAAACATGTCAAATCAAGGTAATAATCCACACGCAGTTATTGAAATAAAGTCTCTGAGCTCTTTCTCTTACACCGTCCTCTGGAAAGTGAATGTCATGAGTGCTGGCCGGTCATCTAAGTTCACTTATAGAAACTTGCAGTCTTTTGATGGTCAGTGAGGTCGTTTTGGGTCTTTGAAGTGGCCCCTGTGATCCATAAAGGCATACATGTTGGTGGGCCGTCGTGTATCGAAACCAGCGCTCTTTTGTGCGTCAGGAGGTGTGAAAACACTAATTCTTCTCCTCGAGCGCTGTGTATTGGAGTTTCTTTTGTAAG